GTGGCTAGTGCCATAATCAGGATTTTATCTAAGATTATTTTGACCATAGCATCTACCTTGAAGGCCTGAATTTGTATCTGGAAGGGATTTTGAGAAATCTTTGCTTCCTACTCCTTGCTAAACCCACAATGAATCTCTCTTGAAATTCAAGTATGGGTTCAAAAGCTGCACTAAAGATCAAGCAGAACCCTGTCTTTTACATCCAGCAAGATCTGTTGTTTGAGCCTCTTCTGAGCAGTGAGAAGCAGAGTTTTCTTCTGTAACTCACATTTCCTACACACCTCCAGAGGTAAAACCAAGGGATGGTGCAGGTTAGTTACCAGAGAAATAAAAGCATTTACTTAGTCATAATGTGTTCTACCACTCAAAATGATAATCCATGTGACAGATTATGAAATCTTGACAGAATCATTTCTCCTGTGAAAAACCAACTATAGACTTATCTCACAACACAGATAGGAGGCCTATGACTCAAATGTTTTAGGAAAGAAGAAGGAAAAATATTTTTCTCAATCAGAATCCGTGGTAATTAATGGGGCAAGCTATGTTGTAAAACAGCATCCCCCCATATAATTGAGAAAGGACATTTTGTCCAGAGGAAGTCATATTTAAAATGTAGAAAATTTTAATAATTTAAAATATTAACCCCAGCAGATCAATCTTCTTCCCTTCTTTTATTACAAAATTGCAGGCTTGCATAGATGATACTCTAAAACTGAATTGATGTTTTTATTCTAAGACCATACTTTTATTTCCTTTCAGCTTTTGCTTTTTAAGCTAAAAAGTCTCTCATTCTTGGTACAATGAGTTTTTGCTAAATAATTAAAAACCAATTGTGTTTAAACCTTTTGAGATACATGGTTTTGTGCTGTATAACTCAGGATTTGGTTTCTAAAACCTCAAATTTAGCATCTCAAGAAAGAATAGTATCTACGGCATGTTTGAAAAAAATGTTTTGAAATGAAGTGATGGGCATTTAAAAATAGAATTCAGGGAATGCACAGCCCCCTCTCATCTCTTCTTCCAGGGGGAGGAGAATGACACCTCTGCGTTATACTGCCAGAACACTGTTGCTATGATTCTGTTGAGTTTCACAATGGACGGCGGGGCTACCAAGACCACTCACAATGCAGCACAGCCACCAGGAATGTGCAGTTTCCCCAGCTGACATACTTGACTTAGAAATGACCAACATACTCTGCTAACATTCTGCCACCAGAACCTCCCTTCCCTGCTCCCACCTCTCACAGCTCTGAACATTTTACTATCCTTATAATCATCACTGGTCCTGTCCAATTGTTAAAACTTTAATTCATCAACTGGTTCTTCGCTCTAGTCACTCTGAGTGACTTGGGCTAAATTTCAGATTTCAATACCAGGAATTAGAGGGATTTAGAGAATGTGGAACTTTGTGGGCTAGCCTTGAAGCCCAATAATCATTCATCAGGTTATCCTATAAAAGATTATCTCAAAATTCAATTAACCTACAGATATTATTTTGGAAAATGACACAAATTCTCATTCCTTGCAGTTGTTTCCTGAAAAGTATTATGTTTGGCAAAATTATAATCAGGGTAAGAAAATTATAGGGGAATATTATACAACAACAATGGCTTTAAATACATGAATGAATTAATATTAAATATATAAATATTAAATGTTAAATATATATTTGAAATCTCAAAGTAGATGAATATTCTGGAAAGTACCTACCTCCAAAACAAACCAATTTCATCACTATAAGGTTTCATCATTAATAGGAGGAAACTTTTCTTTTCTCAGAGCTCATAAAACACTACTTCTGTGTCATAATGTTAGGCAATCCATTAAAAGTTCAATCAATGGGCAGACAGTATCTCTTTACAAGTTCTTCAAATTATTAGCTACAGGCTTTATGTTGTGGTATTAAATAATATAGGTCACCAAGTCCTCTTTGGAGGAAGAACTTGCTGCACAACTGTGGGGAATGTGGCTCTATCTCACCTTCAGGGCCATCTAAACTGGGAGTAGGTGCTTCCCCAGGTAGCCTGCCCCCAGGGACTAAGTCAAACAGGCAAAATCTGCTCTGTAGTTCCTGGCCAGATTGGCTAAGTCTTTGTCAGATCTGCATCAATAGCTAGACTTCTTCCTCTGCCCACTCCTACTTTCTGTCCTATTCCTTTCACAGATTATATTTCTAATAAACATTTGGCACCCTGTCAAGTGTTTATTAAACTGTGTCTGCTTCCAGAGAACACAACCTGCAATGTGTCTTTTTCATTTGCATTTTCTCTTGTTTCAGTTTACCACATCTTGCCTACTCCCAACTCCTACTTGTGGGCACACTTTTCAGGGGCTAGACTTTATATATCAAAAGGAAGAAGTATATTTACATTTCTCTCTGCATATCCTACAAGGTTCATAGAAGAGGAAATAATTATTGTTGAAATTTTCTTTACTCTATGAAGATTAAATGATTCCTTGCCTATAAAATTACAATATAAAATAGCATACAAGCATGCATTAATTCAATGTTATTGGCCACTGAGTAACTGCTACACACCACACACAGGTGGAAAAAGCAGTGAAAAAGCTTCTGCTTTAGAGGAATTTGCATTCTAGCAATTGAGACACAATAAACAGATCAGGAATTGATATATTGCAATGCAATGCCAAGGTCTGTTAAGTAAAGCAGGTGAGAGGATAGTGAATGACTGTAGAGTCATCTATTATTTTAAAGGCACGAATGGAAGAACTGCTGCAATCCACACACTGCTTGGTTTGCACTATCACTTACACATTTAATAGATTAGTTTCCTTGATAGTATCATTCTTGAACTAGTGAAGAATTCTTCATGTTGGATTTTACTAAAATGATATTTCTTCTGCATTGTGAGTCTACCTGATGCATGAAATACAAAATCTTAAAATTTATGTTACTAACCTATATAACAATCTGTCTTGGGGAAAGAGCAGCCTGAGCCATCATAAGATGGAGTCAGACATAGCTGTCTCAGGCAGATGGCTTTAGTGGGAAATATTATAAGTCTGACAGATTTTTTAAAATATGAAAGGGTTTTCTGTCTCATTAGTACTTCAATGGTTGACCATCCACAAACACCTGGTTTTTGGACTTCTTCTTGTGAAAATGTAACCATACATAGTTTTAACTCTTAAGAATATGTATTATGTAATGTTTGTCCAAAGGATCGAATACTTACTATAAAGGCACATATAGAAGGAAAACCCATTCCCAAACAGCTTAAGTGAGATGACAAATTGAAATCAGAACCAACAGGGACTTGGAGTAGAGATAGAGGCAAATTAAATTACTTTGGTCCTTTCCAATACCCAAACTACTCTGCCCATAGGGAATTCCAGGCCTTCAGAGGCATCTATTCTATCATCAATAAACAAGTTAATACAAATGACAGTTTTTTTCCCCAAGAATAACAGTCAGCACATTTCTACTTTTTTCTCCTCATACTTTAGGAACATGTTACCATCATCTTCAACACATATATACATGAACACCAACACTATAATGTACTTGCTCGAGAAAGGAATCACCATACCTGCCCTGTCAAACTCTTAGAGTGTGGACCGTTTAAATCCAGGTACTATAATTTATTAGTTTTTTAATACATTAAACTTGTCCCAAGGTCATAAATTTTAGTGTTTATACTTGTAAGGAGATAACACCTATCTAATACCTTGCAAGATCAGTTAAGTTTAGTGTTCAAAGTAATTTTAAAACTACAAAATGATCTGTAAAAGTAAGGTATTGCAAAGACTGGAGTTTATTTGTATTTAAATGTTAACAGTATTCTACTTTTCAATTAATCAGAAAAGAAAACCTTCATTCTTTAAGAAGTATTTTTCAGTACCTTTTGTTTTACTTTATGATAAAAAGGTGGTTATCAGTGTTAGGAAGGAGTTTACAAATCTGATTTGCGAGAGGAAACATGGAGCAAAGATGTGATATTGGTTTTTGCCACATATACACTTTCTATGTGATAGATATTATTATACTTCTTTAAATAGAATAACTCTCTCAATCTTTAAAAACCTTAGAAATGGGTAATATTTTTATTTCATTTTATGGATGAAGAAGATGTGGCACAAGAAGCTTGGAAACTTGCCCAAGATTGGAATCCTCCTAGTAAGTATTATCTCAAGACACATACTCAGTGAGTTAGCACAATGTTCTATTACATCTCATGGTGGGCCACTAATACATACACATGCACATACTCCCATCATTAATATCTAATGAAATTAACAATACTAAGTAAGCAATAAATAAACAGTTCATCTTGAGGTAGTGTGATCAAGGAAGTTTTCATGATATGAAACCAAAATTAGATCCAAACTTGTTTTAAAAATTTAAACAAGAAAAATTAAAGGACAAATAAGAATATATAGTACATATGTTCATTGAGTGTGCATAGGTTTATACTTTATTGAAATATAACATACACATAGAAAAATGCAAAAATCCCACATGTACATTTGTAAGAGCTCAGACTCTTTTATAGACTGGATTTATTTCATGATTTTAAAAAGGAGCAAAAGCAATCTGTCTTAAAGCAATGTCTGACTACTCAGTGTAAATATCAGTCTAAATACAATCTATTTTATTTCAAAATCACAATTTAAACATTTTACTATAATCAAGATTATTCAATTCTTGTCTATTTTTAACATAAAATAATTTGAAATAGAACAATTTATATCTTTCCATGATACAACTTGCCCTCGGACAAATTAATTACTTTCAGTTTGCTTGAGAAGCACTGTGTTGATTTTCCATGGTATAGATGGAAGGCTCCCTCTCTCACCCCTCTGGATTTTTATATTTGCTAAAATTTTAACATTTTATATGAAGGAAAACACTTCCAGAGCTACTTTTCAAAGGACACACAAAACAGTCTCTGAAAATGTTTCTTACTCATTTAAATTTCCAGCAGAATTCACATACTGATTGCTTGTTGGTCCTATGTGCATCGAATGAAACTTACCAAGCGATAGGTCTGGGCCTTTAAAACATTGAGATCAATAAAGTTTTCTTCATTATCTGTCTCCTCTTCCTTAAGAAAATAAAAACATTTTTAAATTATAAAGAAATTATAATTAAGAAATTTATTTCCAACATTCATATACATAATATACTAAGCTATAACAAACTTAATATAAGGACTGACTCAGTAAAGCGTATTTAAAAGTCTAATAAACATATGTATAAAGTAGGGCACAATATTATTAACAGCTCATATGTTCTTTGACGTTTTGATGGTGCCATTTAAATAGGATCTTTTCTGCAGTCACTGAAGAAAGAAAGAGAGGGAAAAAAAGTGAGGGGAAGAAAGGAGCCTTTGCTGCAGAACTATGGATAAACATAAAATCAGAGGAAAATAGCCCCAGTGGCATATCAGAAACAGACAGTGGAGGGAATTTATGGAAATTTTGAGCAACATGATTGAAATGAACAGAAATGAAAGGATGACAAGACACAAAACAGTTTCACTTGCTCCAGGGACCAATCACACTGATGCATATTTTTTACATTTCTTGAATGTGCAAGCTTAATAACGTAACAGGTACCAATAGTGTTTGGTTCATGGCCTTAATTCTATTTAAAAGAATGGTTCAGATGCATCCTAAGTTGAGGGTGGGTGTTTATGCACAGGAAGTGACCCTTTGAGAGGCAATTCTCTCCCTAATGAACAGTAAATATGGAGTTTGGGCAGGTCCTCCAAGCATACAGAACACGAGCTTCCCTTTTCTATCAAGGTCTTTGTGGTGACAACTGACATAATACATGAAACAAATATAATAAGATTATCCTAATCTTAGGGACATGTAATAAAGCCAACAGAGCTGGGTCCTCACATCATACGATCTCATAAAGAAAAAGACAGACTAACAAGTAAGTGTCAGTTGGTAAAGACACTTCCACATGTAGAATTGTTCAAGTTTCAGTGGTAGATTTCAAAGACAATCCTTACCAAGACTTTGGAAACATGTAAGGCAGTGGTTCTCAAAATGTGGTTCCGAGACCAGCAACATCAGCACCACCTGTGAGAATGCAAATTCTAAGGTTCTATTCAGATCTACTCAGAAACTTTTGGGAGTGGGGCCACTAAAGTAAGATATGACAACATGAGAAAGCTTGGAAAACTGGAATGACTTTAGTAAAATATGAAATAATGTAAATGTGGATCCAATATATTCAAGTAATATTTACTTTTCTTAGGGTGGGGAATAATGGGGTACAGAGGTGCAGACAAAAGTGATCTGTTTACATCTAAAGTCTGAAGCATATTGCACACTTTTGAAAAACACTTTAGTCTGTTCTGTGTTTGCACTACCCAATAACCAGAGTAAATGATTAAAATGCCAATGACTCAATGCACATGTGAGAAGAAACAAATTTATGATGCTTTTATAATAACCTAATCAGACTGTTGTCATAAGTGATCAATAAATTACTCATTGAACTATACTGGATTAAACACTAACAAATGAGAAATGAGTAGAAATGAGTCTGGCACCATTTGTATTACACCTAGTAGCCAACTAGCAAAATTTTTTGCTTCCTGTTCCCGTGATCTTGTTTTCTGCTGGCCTAGACATCTTAGTTCCAAATGGAAGAATGCTTTCACTAGGAGAGATAACGATGATTCCACTGAATTAAAAGTTAAGACTGCTATATAACTACTTCGGGCTCCTCACATTTCCAAATCAACAAGCAAAGATGGGAATTACTGTGCTGCTGGCATGATTGATCCTGACTACCAAGAGGAAATTGGATTATTACTCCACAATGGAAATAAGAAAGATTATGGTTGAAATACGTCCAAATATCCTTTAGATTGTCTCTGATTATTATTATGCCCTGTGATTAAAGTCAATTGGAAACTACAACCCAATCCAGTAAGGGCTAATTGCCCAGACTCTTCAGGATTGAAAGTTTGGATCACCCTGAGCTACTGGGATTATGGGTGGGTACTACCATGCCCAGAAAATATTGTTATTTTTACATGATAATATTAAAGTTAAAAGATATCAAGAATAGAAAACATCACTAGAGAACTTTACCTCCTTTTGGAGAAAGAGTTAGGTGCAATATCTGTTGAATGCAGAATCATTTTGTTAGGTGGAATTATGACCTTGCTATTTTCCTTATTTGGAGAGTAAATGATTTAATGAGACATGTATGGGTGCCAAGTTGAAAGAGGTGGACTTGTAATGGTTAAGTTCATGTGTGAATTTGATTAAGCACAGAATGCCCAGATATTTGGTTTAACATATTGAGGGTATGTCTAAGAGGATATTCCTAGATGAATAACTATGTGAGTCAGAAGAAGGAGCAGTTAGATTGTTCTTCCCAATGTTGGTGGGCCTCAGTCAATCCATGAAGATCTGAACAGAATAAAAAGGGCAGAATTTACTTTTTTCCGCCTGTCTTCGAACCAAGACATCACTCTTCCTTGTCCGAACCAAGACATCACTCTTCCTTGTCCCCAGACTCAGACTGAAACTTATATTCTCGCATGGCTCTCCTGGTTCTTCATATTCACACTAGAACTACACCACCAGCTCTCCTGGGTCAACAGCTTATCAAATGCAGATCTTGGGACTTCTCAACCTCCATAACTACATATACTAATTCCTTATAGTAACTTTATCCATATATAAAGGTGTGCATGTGTGTGTGTATGTTTGTGTGTCCCAATTTGGAGATTATGTTTCTCTAAAGAACTCAGATTAAGCTACTGATTATGTAAGATTATTCAAGCTACTAAATATTACTAAGAGAATATTTAAAAGAAATTCAAATATAAATAGGCTTAGAAAATGTGTTAAAAAACAAAATAGAATTCCAATTTCAATAATTCAGAAGTCACAACTATTTCCTATGATTTATTTGCCTAATTTGCACCTTCTTAATTCTCTTACTGCCAATTATACTAAGGATATGATAGAACAAGTGAGAATATTCTGTCATGACCAATACTTTTTTTCCCTCACAATTACCAATGTGTCCTATCTTGATTTGGTAAGTTTAAAACTTAAAGTTTCTAGTTTCTACAGAACTTTGCCAGAAATGTTCTTCACCATCCTTAAGCCACACTACAAATTCAAGCAACAGGATCAATATGCCACCAACATAAGGCTTTCTGGCACTAAACCAGCTTTCCTTAGCAAGGAAGATAGGGGAAGTAAAAGAGCTTCTTAGAATAATATGATAACAATAAGGAAGAAAGGAAGGAAAGAGATATGACACAGGGAACAAATAGCATTTAGGGGAAACCTCTCTGAGGGAGGCCTTCAGTTTCATCTTATGATAGTAAAAGGTCTACCTCTAATTGGGAAGAAATGTATTAAAAAGCTGCTTTCTAGTTTTGTTTCTCTAAATGTACAGACTCTATAATGCTGCTTTGAACTTTACAGGATTCCTAATAAAAAATTAGATACAATTTTAAAAATTTACACAACAATATGATGACAGATTTTATTTAATAAAAACCTACTATATGCCAGGCCCTGCTCAATAAGCTGGAGAAACAACAAGCAAAATTAGACATGGTTTCTGCCTGCAGAGATTTTTTTTTTCCCCTGATGAGTAGGAAATTTTTTTCTGCCCTTAAGTTATGTCTTTGAAGTTAATGCTGGGGTACTAGGCCCAGGTATTTGTTCATAAACTTTTTAATAACTATTAAGTATTTATTAAGAAGATAAGATGATGGGGGTGGTGCTGGGGTTGTGGCTCAGTGGTAGAGCTCTTGCCTAGCATGTGTGAGGCACTAGGTTCGATTCTCCAGCACTGCATATAAATAAATAAAATGAAGGTCCATCAACAACTAAAAAATATATATTAAAAAACTGCTTTTAAAAAAGACAAGAGAAATACCCGAGTAGAATAAATGAGGTGAAAAATTGGGAATATGTGAGGAATTAATTTCTGAGCCATGAATGAAAAGATCTATTACACAGGGAATAAAGCCTAAATCTAAATGACCCAAACAATCTGGACTTAGTCTATCTGCCTAGTTAATCTTAAATCACCAGCCCTCTCACTCAGAAATTCTGGCCCAGTGGTTTCTCTCAGCTTCTTGATCACACAAAGCTCCTAGCTGCATTAGAGCTTTTGCACATTTCCTACCACCTGGTCCTCACCCACTACATAACTTGTGCTCAATGAATACATGCAGAGTGAGCAAATATATGCTTTGCTTTGACTTTTTATCACGTTAAAAAATATTTTTCAAGCTGACTAGTTTTACAATGATCTTTTTCCTTCTGTAAGTAGCAGTCATCTACTTTCCATATGATTAAAAATATTTATTTGCACTGCTGATAAAATGAATGTTAAATGTTTTGAAAGCACAAAGAATTGTCAAAAAGAATCACCTATAACCCTTCTACCCATTTACAACAAATGTTAACATATTGATATTTATTTTCTTTAGTTATTTTACATAGCTGAAGTCATGATAACATAGAATTTAGAATTTTTTCCTCAGTTAATTTTATAACAGTGTAAATTATTATCCTCATGTCACTCATGTTTCTTCAAAACTAACTTTTAATAGATACATAGTATCCTAATTGGATATTAAGTACTAAGGATATGATTACAAAAAGCGGGTAAGAATATTCTAATTTAGAGTTATTTTTTAGCATTTAATATTAAAATAATTCCATGATTAACAACTTTGTAGCAGATAATAACCTATTTAAACTGAAATACAGAATACATTATCTACTAATTTAAAAAAATTACCTAAAAACTTTAGTTGGTTTATAACAGCAACATATTACATAAATTTTGTTTTTTACATTTCAGCATAATTTCTAAAGCATTAGGATTAAATTCATTTCTAGTTCTGAGCATTATCTTACAAAAAAGCTCTTTTATATCTATCATCTTACTATTCATCATTTAACCTCACACCAGGAATAGGATGTTAAGCATGGAAAAAGGTAAAGATGTTGCCAAATAATTTAAGTAATGTTGGTTATATTAAGCATTAAAAAAAAAATTCCTGGGGGCTGGGATTGTAGCTCACTGGGTAGAGCGTTTGCCTTGCATGTGTGAGGCACTGGGGATATTATTTCCATCTCCAACTAAAAAATATTAAAAAAAATAAAAACTTTCCTGGGCTAGGCACATTGGCACACACCTATAATCCCAGCAATTCAGGAGGCTGGGGCAAAAGGATCAAGGACAATCTCAGCAACTCAACTTCGCGAGTCACTGTCACAAAATAAAAATTAAAAAGGGCTCTGGCTGTCACTCAGCAGTGGAGCAACTAGGATTCTAGTACCAATAACAAAAAGATAACTCTGTAGGGTAGAATTCATCTTAATTTTAAAAAATAATTTTTTTGGAAATGAATGTTGTTCCTATGAAGTAGAATAATTTATGTACCCTCAGTTCTATTCTTCTATTCTAAATCCTTTGATAGTCATGATCTATTCAATATCATGAATGGTTGTTCACAAAATATTTACTCATATAACTAGTGGTATGTACTTTTAACGTTTAAGAACCTCTGCTAAAATTCACTAGAGAATATGAAATTAAAGGTCCAAACAACTGATATTTGGCACTGTATTTAAAAGATTTTTTTTTTCTCTAGAAACAAAATACATTCCAGAAAATGGAAGTCTGGAGGAATTAAGGAAAGGAACCCAAAGGTGAAAAGTAAACACAAAGTTCAGCAACACACATACCACAAATTCTTCATCCACTTTATTCAATGTTAATTCTGCATCATCTTCTGGAACAGTTTCTTCTTCTAATTCTTCCACAGGGTATGATGGCCTAAAATAATAAGGCTTAATATGAGAATTAAAAAATTTTTTTTAGTAAGACAAAAAATATAATAGAGATAATAAGGATTCCCTCCACCTCAGATCTTGTCCTCTGTGACTGCTTCCATAATTATTGTTAAATGTTTCCTGTATTCCTTCTGAAACTTTCTGTGTGAAAAATAAAAATGTATACTCCAAATTTAAGGAAAACATTTACAAAAATTATGATATTAGACATAGTGTTATCCAATCTACATTCCTTACTTATCAACATACACATTTAGTTACGCATATATCTCTTATTTTTATACACTTGCACTATATTCCACTGAATAGCAATACTACAAATTGGCAGTCAATGTCTTAATAATGAGGTCGTTTATAGTTTCTAACTAGACATTATTGTAAAAATCATCTTTATACATTTATCATAATGTATGCTATTTTGTAATAAATTTGTATAAGTGGAATTGCTATATTAACAACTTTATACATGTTATTATTTTGCTGGATTTATCCAAACTTGACTTCCAAAATGTTACCCTAATTTATACTTCGAACAACAGTGATACTATCTCTCTTTCCATATTCACTATTATAATATAAATATCTAATTTTTAATCTTTAAATCTTCAAAAGAATCCTTATTATCAACCAAGTGAAAAAAAATCTCAGTTTTTTAAAAAAATTGCATTTCTTTGGCATGAGAGTGGTAGAACAACTTTTCTTATTTTAATTGGTTATTCATATTTCTTTCTCAGTAAAGTGCTTACTTGTGCTCTTTGTCGTTTGGCTTTTGAAAATTAAGAACACCAATGTTTTTCCTAACTTGTGTTAGAAATATCTTCTTAGTTTATTACTTGTAATTTTGGCTACTCAAGACTGTTACAGTTCTGACTAGAAAGATCTGGCAACCTTTCCTTGCATAAATCCTAGATTTAACATCATTCATACAAGGTTTTCCCTAACACGATATCTCCTATGTCCCTCTGGTCTTTAGCATTTCTGTAGTTTTATTTTTCACTTTTATATCTTTGATCAATTGGAAGTTTGTTTTATGTGGGTTATAAGCTTTATTCTTATTTCCAATGTCTAATTAATGGCCCTAACACTAAACACTGAACAATCATTTCAATATTAAAAACAACCAAAAATGTTTTTGGATTTATTTATGGCAACTTATCATGATGTCAACTTATTAACATGTCCATATCTTGGACATGCTAACAGAATACAAAAATATAAGGAAAGAAAGTACTGTGAACCAAATCAGTTTTCTTAAAGGATGAATATTTCATTATTAAAATTAGGTAATATCTCAAAAGCAATGAATGCTCTAGAATTTGTTTTGACATATTTAGACATAAAAATAAACATCTATAAATATGTGACTTCTATGTAATATACATAGTACACAGCTGATATATTCTCTAATGTTTATTACTTCACAATTTCTCCCCTTTATATTCCCCTTGTATAAACTTGTATGAAGTCCCTACAAATTAGTTGAGGCACAATGCCCAGGCCAAGAATAAGATGTACCTAGAAACAAAGTGCAAAATCAAATAGTTAAATAGTGGTTGAGATACTAAAGCTTCTGGTGAAGTTCAAATACATTGGACTATATATATTGGCAACTTTAAAAACATGCCTAATAAAGCAGCACATCACATAACTTACCTTTTCTACAAATCTAATAAAATAGTATTATGGATCATGTAGACATTCTCTCTATATTGCACTAAGTAGAAATGTTCACGTTGAAGTAAATGAAATTTCCATATTTCAGTTTAAAGATTGGTTATTTCACAGGATTAAACCTGATGATAACCTAAATCAAAGAATTTTTTAAAAGAACTTACTAAGAGGAAGTAGATTATTTACATGAAAGACTATAATTAAATATAGATTAAAATGTTAACAGGAAATAACATATACCTCTTTCTACAGAAGTTAATTTTAATTCAGAAACCACTTCTTGCTCATGTTTTGCTTACTTAAGAGACAACCACATTCTAAATTATTAAAAATCCTAATTTTGAAAAGATGAAATGTATATATTTTCGAATTATAACCTACATACATTGACAATTTCTAGTTTTATTTCTTCTTCATTAATTGGGCATCTTTGGTATACCAATGACTAGGCTAACTGCCACAGAGTACATATGAAGATTGCAGGATTTCTAAGAAAGCCAGACCTATAAATAAATGATTTTATTATTTGTTTGTTTACTTTTGTAGTGCTAGAGAACCAACTGCTCTACTAGTGAGCTACATTCCAGTTCCCCAATCCATTATTTTAATACCACAGGATAAATCCAAAATCATCATAGAAATATTAAAAAGAAATGCACTTTCAGGTTATAGAAAAAAACTATGAATGATGTCTAGGAGAGTATATTGTGGCTTCTTCACTTCTTTAGTATACTGGCCCAGCCATTAAGCAAAGGTGGAAAATCCCAGTTAAGGAATTAATTCCCATTTTTTCCTTAAATTTGTAGCTATTAGTTACCTCTATGTATGTACTATGCAGGTGTGTTCAAATAAAACATGCAGAAACTTTTTTTTTAATTCCTAAATTAACAAATATGTACAATTAAACCTTTAATAATTACATATTTGAATAGGGAGGGGCACAATAATATTAATGTTACCTTAGAAATGGTTTGAAGATAGGCATTCCAATTTTTCTATACTGACTTTTCTTAATCACTTGTGGCATTTTCAGTTTAAAACAGTCAATTCTTATCAGTTCAATTAAACAGCTGTGTACCTTCAGAGGAAATGCTAAGCACATAAAATTACTACTGTCAGGATGAGTAATAGTTACCTTTTCCAGGTGAAACCAATATACTTTAATGCCTCTTCAGCTAAACAATCAAGAACATAGCACACATGTTCTCCATAACCTGACTTTAATTTTGAAGGAGGAAAATCTGCAGTTCTCCCCTGAAAAATAAAAGATAACAGGCTTGTTAGTTTTTTTAAAATGTTGCAATATTTTAAGCTCAAAACTGCTGAATACATTTATCACTTTTTTATTTCTCTGATTTAAAATAACTTATTACATTGCTTCTTAGAAATCTATCCAACAACAACAACAAAACTAAAATAAAAACTTTATTGTTAAAAGTATCAAATTAAAAGGCAATTATATTGCAATAGCATAACAAATCATTGATCTTGTTGGGTTAAAATAAAAATCAGCAAAACTACTCGCCTGGTAACATAGTTTAAACAACTATGTGAAGGACAGAATGACTCACTTGTCAAAAATTGGTTATATGTATGCCAAAAATGTCTTACTAATTGTCTCCAGGAAAAGTCATAAATTAAGAGTATAACTGCTATTGTAGGCTATTAAATCAAAGTTCCCTTTCAAAATACAAAGTGTTTCAACTTCGTAGTTTTTTTTTTTTTTTTTTTTTAATCATTCTTTTAAAGGAAGAACTAACCACTCATAAATTTACCAAGAAAAATTTTACTTTGGGCTATAAAGATTATATGCTAAATATTTTCAGAAGTGGCATTAATATTCTAATATCATTCTGAGAAGGTTTTACACAAAAAGAAATGTAGAGATAATTACTATACATTATATGTATGTATAGTATATATAGTTATTATATATATTATATATACATATTTTTTCCTCCCATAAAGGAGACTTTCAAAAGGCTAGCATTTATTATTGAATTACCAATATTAAAATTAATAGCTTGAGTCTATTCAGACAGAATAGGGTGTTTATACTTACAAAGGACCGAAGCTCAGATAATATGTTAGATATTGTTGCATTAGGGTCATCATATTCCTGAGGCTGCTCAAAGGGGCGTCCTGCTTTGTTAATCAGCCAAGCAGCAAGAGTGCAAAACATGTAGAACTGTTCACCAGGGTTGGTAGGCAGAGCAAAATAGTGTCTGTTTCAAAATAAGGGAGGAAGGGAAAATTTGAAATAATGCAAGTAAGTCTATAATAACTAATGGGGCTAAGTCCCAAATTGCCAAAGAAAGCCCCCATAGCCTTCAAATTGAGACACTGTTAATTCATTCTTACATTTCCAGTAATGCACAGCACTCACATTAAAGTCCCAAACCAGCAGAATTAGGTCATTTGCTACTCTACATAAAATATTAGATCAAAGACTTTATATGCAGGGTATGTAGTGCATGTCAGAAAACAAAGTATGTAAAACTTCTGCCAAAAGTTTAATAATAAGTGAGTACCCTCTGAAAATGATAATTTGAAATCATAAGAATATGTTTTTAAAAGACCTTAAACATTATTCACTGTGCATTTTTACTGTTTTTAACCTATCAGGTATGTTAAACAGTTATTTTATTTTAACTGCATATTCAAATCAACTGAGGCGCCAATAAAAATACTGCTACTTGACCAATCATTGCTAATTTCCTCATCAAATTATTGAATCATAATTCATGAGAGTGGAGTACCAACACAGGTATATTTCAAAAGCTTCCTAGAAGTTCTAGGATGCAGACAAGATTAAGAAGCCTTTATCACCAGTCTAGCAAACAATTGTTCACTTTCACTTTTGCTAAATCCCCTACTCTAGTAGATAAAGTTTTATGGGGATTAGATGATTTATATGAAAAAAATGAGAGAAATAAAACGTGTTAGCAACAACACTCATGTCAGTTTGATCAAAAATCTTATTTTGTTCTTTTTCATGTAGCTATCATAATTATAGTCAACGTATTTACAGTTATTATAAACTTTGTCTTAAGAATCAGTGGTTAACAATCTTTCATGTTTCCCATACTTTCTCCTTCAGAATAAGTGTAAGTTATTTGGGAGATAACAGAATTATGGAAAGAAAAAATAAAGCCATGGAAGTCCTTCAGATATATGCTGAAAACCCTTTCAAAGCATCTACCCACCACCAACTCATCTTTTCTTTATCAACTGGTATTCTTCAGGACAAAGGATTGGATATCGATAGATATTGCAGACCAAGGACAGTAGTTTCTCAAACATTACTATGCATCAAAATCATCTAGAAGGCTTACTAAAACACAGACTGCTTGCCCCACCCTTAGAATTTCTGGAAAAAAACCAGACATGGTAAAAGGCCAGAGGAATTTCATTTCTAAATTTCCAGGGGATGCTGAAACTGCTGGTCTGGGTGATTATACTTTCGGGAACTCCCTGATTAGTATATCTCCACATAAATCCAAGGTACAAAGTATCCTGCTGAACTCATAAGGAAATATTAGAGAGATGATATCAACAGAATCTTAGTTTGACATTTGGAAAAATAATACATTTTTATTAACCTAGAAAATATTGGTTGTCTATATTTTCAGGACAAATCATTTTAAGTAATAATCCCTAACCTACTACTTCTATCATGGATCAAGCTGAACTACTTTTTCCTCTTACCCTTTTCCTATTACGGAGTAACTTAGCAACATGGACAGTTTACATAAAGCCTACATATCTTTCAAGTTAATGGAAAAGAGTAGAATGAAATCAGAATTGTCAAGAAAAATTATTTTAGCCCATCTGCAAACATAATTGTCTCTTACAGAATAAAATAAATGTAAGTATTAAAGTGAAGGAAAAGCAATAAAAATTATCTGGCTATCATTTGGCTAATGACTAGAGGAGAAAATGCTAGCTGTCCATTACCCTCAGCAACTAATGACATTGTCTTCAGAATATTATGAACTTTTTGCACAGCAAGCACAGAACTTTTAAGTTCCATGATGAGAGAACAATTGCTACAGTTGTCATCTCTTTTCCATTTCTCAATTTCTAAGAGAACTGTTATTGCAAAAGCAGAAGTCTTTTAAACCATAGCAATTGTCAACAAGTTTACTATTAAGTGCTCCTCAGCAAGGTCCTTAGATCCCAGGGTTGCCAATTGTACATATAAGGTCTAGTAATGGGAAACAAAAAGTAGAAATTATGTAACTGATAACAGACTTCATCTCCAGAAATGAGATTGTGGGTTATGTATTTTTCTACACATTTTCATTGTGTTCTTTTGTGCTTTCTACAGTAAGTATTTTTCATAACTTTATAATAGTTTGTGTTTTGTGGAGATGCGTCTGTGTTTAAAGGAATGGGCAGGTTGTCTCCCAGTCCTCTGCCGTTCCACAACTTGTTTACTTTCTCTACTAAATTACGAAGTCTGAGCTCGGTGACGCTGAGAGCTCCAGGGCTCCCCGGCTGAGTTTCGGGTGAAGCGCCCTTCCCTGGCTAGGAAGATGGAGGCAAGATCTGCTAATCCGTGGGCGGCGTTCCCAGCAAGCCCGAGGAAGGCATCTCCCCAGGGCCCAGCCAACTCGGGACGAGGGCACCCACCTGGACGGGGGTTTTAGGTTGCTCTTCCGGAGGAGTTCCTCCTCGTAGCGGAGCAGCTTCAGCTTCTCCACCAAGTCCTCCATCACCACGAACATGTGGTAGGCCGCTCCGGGCCCGCGCTCTACCGCCACCTCCCCAGCCCCATCGCCGCGAGACCTAGACACCCCATCGTCCAAACCCGACGGCGTGACCACTGCTGCAGCGGCAGCCATTGCAGAGCGGACAGAAAATGCCCAGCGAGGGCTCTGGCCCACAGATCTCTGCGGCCTATGCCGCCTGCGCTGCAGCAATCAGGACCGCCGCGAACCGTTACCAGGCGACAGCCGGGTAACCGGTCACCCGGGCAACTAGACCCCGCCTCCTTTTCGCCCTCCGTGTTCCTTATAAATGTTCTCCAATCAGGGCGCGCTTCCTGAGTGACGTTATCTTGCACCCACCCCCTGATGGGAGGAGGCCCCGCCCTTGTGGAGGCGTGGCGTCCTGCTCCGCCTACCGCCGCGACTCCTCCGGAGAGGAAGAGTGCAGTAGCGACTGGAGGTTCTGTGCCTGCTTTGTTGTACTGGGAATGGCGTGAGGCTTACTGGACCTGGTGATTGTGGGCAGCCGAACGGGAATCTGGGTCACCTGAGAGCAGTTAAAAAGATTAAGCGGAGCTGTAGACGCGCAGTATTGCTACGCTAGCCCACTGATTCCTTTTTTTTTTTTTTTTCCCCTCAAAATTGGAAGTTTTAGTACTTGTATGATAGTCAATATCCTTAGTTTCACTTTACATCAGGAACTTTCCAACGAGTGTTCGGTGGTTGTTTTTCTTAAACGTTCGTCTGGTAGTGCTGTATTTAACAATATAGTATAAAGCTTGAAGTATTACAGTGCCCCGCTATTACTTCAGTGCTAGGAAAGTGTTCGGTAGGAGGAAGACAGGATGAGGCATGGGGAAAAGGTTTGTTCTGCTTCAGAAACGTTAATGCTAAACGTGCATCTTGTTGCTTAATTTGTTTCAAGCTCATGGCAGGCCGTATACATATTTTGGTACTTTCTTAAATCCAACAAAATAGAGACTATTTTGAAAGATTTCTTTGTGTTATAACTCAAAGTGTGGCTAAAGACAGGATTTTACTACTGTATTCTGCAGCTGTTGACCTAGAAAATGCAAGAAAGGGACATAATAGATCACAGATGGAACCAGCTTTACTGTTATCTAAAAACTTTGGTTTCAAGAAATTTTCCTAACAGCTACATAAAAAGTACGGTAAGTGGTAGATTTTCTGGAAGAAAATAACTTAAGGCAAGAGGTTGCACGTGTATTTGTGTTTATAATGTGATTTTTAAGAGTTCTCTAATCTCTTATATTTGCTACTAAAGGATATAGAAGCACCACACTTTTGGACTGACTGAAATTTGAAATATAGCTAATATATTTGTGTTTTTGTTAGAAAAATGAAAAGAGCACTCTTAATCAGTCTGGAACTGATGTAATTCTGATACCAATAAAGATATCAAAGTGAGAAAAGGCAAATACCAGTTTCTATCCATCAAATAAAGGACATAGAATTACTGATTTATGTAGAAAATAACCTAAAATGGGAAACTCACTGAGAATTGCTGCTAAAATAAATAACATTGTTTGCCACCACAAGTCATTAACCAGTTGCTTTTAGCAAAGATTCGTGGGAAAATTTTGACTGTACCTCACTGCTAAGTTCTTTCCTATTCTAAGCCTTAGAATAGTGATTCTTCCATGTACATCTGTATACCCCAACCACCACTGTGGAGATTAAGGGTATTGTGATACAGCTGCCTATGTACAAAATACAAGTACAACTTTTTAGGATTAAAAAAAAAGTTTCCATTTATGTTTTGGGGTACTTGATTAACCAACAAGCAACCTGGGACTTTTTAAATGACTCTTAAAAGGCTCTCAGACTTTAGAGATGAATTGTTATACATAGAGAGGTAGATGTTCATGCAGGGCATGCTGTCTACATGAGACTTCTGACATTTTTAGAAAGTTACATAACAGTGGTGAAATAAAAAACAAAACAAAACAAAAAAAAACATTGCTTTTTGGCTGACAAGAAACCCTCCAACAATGTGAATATTTTGATTGGGAGGAAATAAAACCTCTCCTAGAACCTAGCCATTTATTTCCCATATACACAACTGACTCATGCTAGCTTGGAAGCATGTAAAGAATTATTTTTTCCCCTTTAAGTGTGAAGAAGAAGAAAAAAATTACAAAGCAACCCTAGTAACTTTGGCACAAAGAGAATGAAAGAAAAGAAAAGCCAACTGTTCAACACTGCATGTTTTCCCACAGGGCCAAAAAATGGGAAAGAACACTGAAATGTCATTCATTTTTGTAAGGTGTAGGCATAATTTTTGCTGATTCCTTATTTAACCATAATAGTTGTTAACACATCAAAAGGTCTTTTCCTTAGTGGAAGTAGTTTCCTTCATGTGTGAGAATGCACACAAATCCTCTTCTCAGTCACTTGGAAGCTTTGGAGTACTCTTGCCACAGTGTTTTTTGCCCAGCTAGCTCATTGGTTGACTAAGAAGTTAGAGCTTGAAGAGAATGGAATTTAAGTTTATCCCTGGAAATACTGTATTGACCACTATTTATAGCTGAGCTTCGGACTTTACCTAACATGCACCATTTTCTGGGTTTGATCCCCAGCACCACAGAAACAAAACATCATCTAAGAATGGTATATTTGTAGGGAAGTGACAGGACAAAGGAAAAGGAGTAAAAGTTGCTAAGGATGATAAATTGTGGGAAAATAAATTAGAAAAATAATTTGAATAGGTAGGTTTGTTTGCACAAACCCAATTCAGCATCAACTTCCAGTGTCTAGTGAAAAAAAAATATTATTCTGTTCCTGGTACAGGAAGGCATCTTTCTCCTGGGAAATTTTTATGACCAGCTTTTAGGGAGGTCTCAGAGTCCTTTCTACATCTGCTATTTCTTAAGTGCCATCAGCTCAAAACAATCAATATGCCACAGCAGTATATTCTGTGACATGTTCGAAATTCCTCAATCTAATAAATTTCTGCCAAAATTCTAGAAAGAAAAGAAAATCATATTTAATGTGAGACATTAAAGGGATGCCTTTTGAAGCAAGCTGATGTGAAAGTTCATGTGAAAACATCTGCTTTTCACAACCATACTAGAAATCAGAACCATGTACTGAGACACACAACAGGAAGAAGTATTGCAGAAAAAGAAACTATTGCAGGTAGAACAATTTAGTAAAAAATCCAAGGGAATAAGAGGAGCTGTTAAGACATCTCAGCAGGTTTACCATATATCATAATTAAACTAAAGTTAGTGGAGACAAAAAAAAATTATAAACTCAGTAAAAAATAATATATAGTACCCAGAAATAAAGCTGTCACCTCTAGGGAGAAATTGTAACTTTACTGAAAGTTATGGAAAAATCCAAATAGAAATATAATTTTTGAATGAGAAAATCATTATCTTTTCTCAATTGATAAATAGTGTAGTTTTGACAAAATTCCAAGAGGGCTGATCATAAAATTCATAAATAACGTAAATTTTAAAGAAATATGAGAAAGGAATCATGAATTCCCGAGAAAGTAATGATATCACAGGAAATAGCCTGGAAACAGATGAGAATTTATATGGAGACTCATATATAATTTGGTATTACAAATTAGTGGAGAAAGATGAACAATTCATAAAATGTTAATTGAAGCTATGGGGTATCCATATGGAAATAAAATTACATTTCTGATTCCCATCACATAAATTCCAGATGGATTAAAGACATAACTATGAAATATTTATAATATATTTGGAAGAAAACAAAATAGAATCTTTAACCTCAGTGCAGAGAAGGATTTCTTAAGAAAAGTAAATTTGAAAAGAGAAACTCATCAAAATTTAGAAACCGAGGTAATGGAACTACCATATGACCCAGTCATCCCACTCCTTGGTATTTATCCATAGGAACTAAATTCAGAACACTATAGCAATACAACCACTTCAATGTTTATAGCAATGCAATTCACAATAACCAAACTATGGAATCAGCCCAGATGTCTGTCAATAGATGAATGGATTAATAAAATGTGGTATATATACACAATGGAATTTTACTCAGCCATAAAGAAGAATGATATTATGGCATATGCAGGTAAATGTATGGAACTTGAAAATATCATGCTAACTGAAATGAGCCAGACTCAGAAAATTGAGAGTCAAATGTTTTCTCTCATATGGAAGCTAGAGAAAACATAAGGGAAAGAAGGTAGAGGAGGGGAGATAAGTGGAATCCAAGAAGGAGATGGAGAAGAGGGAAGAGGGAAATATAGAATATAGGAAAGGGGAGGAATATGGAAGGAATTTAACAAAATCATGTTATGTGCATATATAAATATACTACAGGGAATTTCAGTCTTGTGTACACATAGAAAGCACCAATCAAAAATGAGTCAATGGAAGAGCAGTAGGTAGAGGAGGAAGAATAGAGGGAGAGCAGAGGGCGGGGGACCAATGTGGGTGGGGGTAATAGGGACTGAAATGGAGTAAATCAAATTCCATGCTTGTATGATTTTGTCCAAATGAACCCAATTACTGTGTATAACTATAATGCTCTAATAAAAACATATAAAAGATTTTAGGAGCCTAGGTACAAAATAGGACTATATAATAAATAAGCAATGAGAAAAAGATATTTGTGACCCATATAATATCAATGGATGAATCTGTAAGATATACAGATAGATCATGGCCAAAATCTCTCTGCCATGCTAAAGATTTTATGTATGTTCTTTTCTAACACAAAGATTCTTGGACTCAACACCACTGACATTTTTAGGTTGGATAATTCCTTGTTTTGTGTGTGTGTGGAGAAGCTGTTCTGTGCATTATAGATGTTTAACCACTTCCCTTCCCTCTATTCATTACATGCTAGTAGTATCCACCCCCTAGTTGTGACAACCAAAAATGTCTCTAGACATTGCCAAATAGATCCAGGCAGCAAAATCACCTATGTTTGAGAGCCACTGCTCTAAATGCATGGATTGAAATTTCAGATGACTTTGAAAGGGTCAGGCATGTAAAGGGAAATGAGTGTGCTGTGTGTGAGGAAACTACAGGAAACTAGAAAACCATCCCAAGGAGAAAGCATTTTTGCCATGCAGGAATGCAGCCCAATGTTGCCATGTGTTCTGATCTTTTAAGAATGTGAATCTAGAGTTGTATGTTAATATGAGGTACTAATCCCCTCAAGAGTGATCTTTCTGCATGGAAAATATGTCAGGGGCTTCTATCATTTGTTAGAGATACTTGATTTGTTAGTGCATTAAAGTT